CGATAACTAAACGATAGTCCTTAGAACGGTACATTACTATCGGGATCTATTCGAATCGCTTATCACCAATCGCCACGATTGGAATTTAAAGTGGAGGATATCGACTCGCGAGGGAATCTCCTATACCGATCGAACACTAATGATACTGATTTGATATACGAGTAGCTTAGGTGTCTAACTTAATTAATACATAGCAATTTTATCAACACATCTCATAATGTACCCTTGTGCAATATAAACAACTTTCGATGATATGTGATAAGAAGAGTCTAGCATAAATTCTTTGTACAAACAAGCTTAATATTATATAAAATGATAGGTAGAGAACATCAAAACTAAGATATTTAAATTGAAATCTGTTATAATAAAACGTAAACACACACTTCTTTGTTGCCTAAGATGTCAGCAATTACAGCATATTTTTGAATAATCCTTTTTTTTATAAAAAGCCCTACACTTACGTCACGCTTTGGACAATATATTTTCAGGCCATTAAATCTTGTGGGAAATATTTTGGATAAAAACCCTAATGTGGGAAAGAGACCATAAATTGCTGCCAACATCAAGGAAACAAGATTGCCAAGGTTTGTCATGTCATTTTGACATTTGCAATTGATAATTTGACACATGTAAACAATAACATAAAATTTTCATAATTTTATGCGGATGAAGTCGCAAGGGAACAGCTATCCTTAATAATTACGTAATTATTAAACTATACAAAATTACAGTATTACTAGTGGCTTCAGAGGCACAGCAGCAAAATATTTTTAAAACAGTTCTTTACAATAATTGAAAACCAAACACGAAGACGCTTTAAAAGTAAATTTAGTTGCTCAATTCGTGTTAAAACATCTCCCCTTCCTTCCATCACTCATGTTTCACAAACAAAACAAACAAGACGTGCACGTTCTCGTCACGTCTAAAACGGCCATCGAACCCACCGGCATCGTACACCGGTGATCCGTGCTCACTGAACAGGTAACCGAATTTGGGACGAAATGAATATGCACATTTTCAATCACTGTTATAAAAGAATACATTACTTTAAAAATTTACATGCATTAACGCATACATTTCGTAAGACTGCGTTTTAAGCATCATTGCAAATATAAGAACAAGGAACCAATATACAAAGCATTCTGAATTTTGATGTTATCATGTATACATTTAACAGCTTAAAATCACTTCAGTCATCAGATATAATAGAAAATAAACAATTGAAAGTAATAAAAGTCTATTGAACAATTGTTCTACCACTATCTAAAGAATATAAATTAATCCTATAATGGTTTGATAAACTGATTACGCATAGACTGACCGTTAATCTGGAAGTCAAGATATAGAACGATGTCGACTTGAATTGATGGTAGCGGTACACGGACATTAAATTATTGCAAACAACAAAAGACGAATAGTTAAGCTAGCGATATCGAACAATGGATTTACTGCTATAGAAACAAAATTGTACAGATGCCGTCCAAATGAATCGAATGATTGACAAATAACAATGATCGAGGCATTATCATCATAGAATGAAATAATTTATAGCGCTAACGATATTGATGCAATAGGTATAAGGTACATTACTTCTAATAAACAGGAAAGAAATGTATTTTGTGCTTAAATTTAAAGCATTTGACACAAAAAAAGAAGAAATGATGTCAGATTTTATAAATAATTCCTACATAAATTGGTAAAACTAAACCAGAGCAGTAAAATGTGAAACCAGTTTTACCATAGCAATAAAATTTAACAAATTCTGCGGTGTTATAGTTTAGTTGACGCCTTTTCTATAGGTCAAAACGTACTAAGGAATGTAAATCAAAATGGAGGTCCCTTATCAACATATGGAATTGGAAATTTATTTAAAGGGAACAACTGCCTATGCAGGCTATTAACAAATTCAAAAACTTAATGTTCAAGATAGAAAATCTTACTTCTTACTAATACTATAAATGCAAAAGTTTAGATGGATGTCTGTTAGAGTTTGTAGCCTAAACGGTTGAACGGATCTCGATGAAATTTGGCATAGATGTAGGAGATAGTCTGGAAGGACACATAGGCTATTTACTTTTGTATTTTTAAATACCACGCAGACGGAGTCGCGGGCGAAAGCTAGTGGTCAATACTTTTATAGTTCATTTTATGCAACAGGCCATTTGGTAAATTTGTTACTTTATGATGGCCTTTAAAAACAAAAAAATGCTGACGATAAATGTTGCACAAATGCGAATATGTCAATCGCTTGTTTCCTCACGTGCCTGATCGCTGAATTCACGCGAACCATTTCGTCATATCTGAGCCTGTCATCGTGTTTCGACAATCGTGGCTCAAACATTCACTAGTGGTAACTCTCTAACTAAATCGATTAATTTTATATCAGTTTTATAAATCGATTTTCTTCATCACGATAATGTTTAATACAGTACAATTAAAAACAATGGGATGCAAAGAAACCGACCTGAACAAAATTTTATATTAAGGATATTTGAAAGTGTATAAGATATTTTAAACCTCAAATTTACGCAAGGAAATTGAAACCGTCGTATATTTCCTATCACTGCACCGCAATGTAACCTCAACCGCCTTTGTCTCCGTGCAAACTAACACCGAATATTCCCAACACTAACCACTAAACATCGAAACATGGAAACAAATACTATTAGCATGTCATTACTCTCAGAATATTACGTAACTAATCAGGTATAAAGTTTCATCCCAGTAAGGTACAGTCATTTATTTATATTTTTCGACTTTCTTATAGTGTGAAGAATAAGTGACGTGTAAAATATACCAGTAGCCAGTCTAGTTTGCTACATAAACTTGTTATAGTAAACAATAAGATTATTGTCTTCCGCTTTTTGAAACCAGCTCAACTACTACAGAGAACATTTTATACATTCGACAAAGTCCTAGTTACTTTAACACGCTACTATATCAAATCATTGACGAAATCAATTTCCAACATAGAATTTATAGTTCCAATTATAAATTTCCCTTCGCTGCTGTTCTGTAGAGCAATCGAGAATGTTACAGAAGCATTATCACTTAGTAACGGGGACACAGTCGGACCGTTAACTAGACATAACTCTGAAAATGATAACACACAATTGGATAGTTTTAATATGCGCGTTGAATTAAAATAATAAGTAAATAATGTAACTTCGGATTAGTTAATACCTACGATAACTGACAAGGTTCATAAAGATGAGTTTGCAGTAAGAAATGAAAAAGATGCGAAATTAATTCTACGTAGAAACATCAACGCAAGTACACAATTATTACAGCTAAACTTATAAGGGTTTCTGTAGTCAAGCTTATCATATCATAACCTAGCCTAGCAGACCGTCGCTTGCAAAATCGAGAATTCAAAATGTAACAGTTGTTATACTAACCATTAGTTGTAAAATACCTTATTAGCTGTGAACGTTTCGTGTTTGCTGAGAGATTAAGTTAATGCGATTTGTGAGTAGCGTGCGGAGCTCCGCTACGTGTGGTCCGAATCGATTTGGTAGTCAATGAGACAATTTAGCTAATACAGTACATTGTTAAATGGAACGATAGCTATACTAAATGTAATAGTACTTACCCAAATATCTAAAGACTTCTAAATATTTAAATGTCCTCTACCTTATATCATTATGAAATCGACAATGTGTCGGATAAGTTACTCTAATTACACGACTTAAAAATATACGATTAGAACATCTTGTAAATTAAAATAGTTTTTCTGCCACTCATCATCCATGTCTATCTATAAAATGTCCTTCTGCTTCTGTGGCCACTTGACAGAAACAACTTTAATACACACGTTTGAATTAATTAACTCATTTAAAACCAAATTAACATTGAAGATGTCTTACTATCAGATAATTTGTACTATGACATTTGAATAGATGTAAAGCAAAAAGTGTCCATTGAATCAGATTTCGCGGCTGAATTGTGTTTTATTTTTTTATACATTGTAAGCAGCTTAAGAGATAAGTTCGACTATAATTAGATTTGTATCAACATGTTAACACGACAACATGTAGTCAGTGTATTGTGGATGCACTAATTAATTCGTTCCTATCGAAAAGCAAAGGATTCAATAGATCGTATACTAATTGTATGGTATTTAGACATAGTCTTAGATGAAATCTATTAATGACCTTTTCAATACAAAAGACATTTATGCTATTATTGTTTCTCCATTTTTCTTACACAAAATGGAGTCGGGTTTCTATCTTCATAGCTTTTATGATTGGTTTGTTTTAGATTGCAAACAGAAGCATATATTTTCATGGTGTAACATTATCAAATCCCTTGCTAAGCAATTTACACTGCGCTATTGTGAAGTCTACAGTCCGCTCGCGACATCTGTAATTCAAGAGTTGCAAACTATTGATAAAATACAACAGGCTTGCAACAAGACACCGCTAACAAAAGCCCGCGGGCTCGTTGGTAACACCTACAAATAACAGTGGACGAACTGTTCCAGGCATCAATACCAATTTGCAAGCGTTTATGTGTTTACGACGTTTAACCAAACCAAATAGAGAACAAGCCATGATCCGGACATATAGATTTGACATTAGCTGTTCCACTTAGTTAAGTTCAAAACTACCTAATTTCAATAACAAAGACAAACACACGTATTATACAAAACAGTAAAAGCGATTTAATATCGCAATCTGACAATACCTGCCGCTGTCATAATTCATTACAAGTCGGTAATGGAGCAATCGGGAGCACCAAAAGGCTCATTTCCGTACATATCCTTATGTGGAACCGGAGCTGGCTATAAATCATCATAAAGCATGACAATATAATCAAATGAATTAATTCTGTCACTCGAAGAAGCGTGGGTCGCGGTACAATTTCTCAAGCTTTGAGCCCGCCGTCGGCACACCCTAATCTTTGCCCAACAGGGCATTCATCCATGTAGATTAAATGCCATAATGGGCCCATTATGTTCTAGAACATGTTTGCACAACAAATTTACATTCCAGACTCACCTAAAAGTCGCTGTTCTGTCTCATAATCGTACCGCCATCTTGGAATCTGAAAACAATAAATAGTCTAACGTTAATATTGTAAATTACCAGTAATTGGTATCGATTGAAATTCTGTACGAGATATGCAAGAGAGAAATAACTAAGATAACTGTAGAGTGCTACCGTAAGTTCCACTCCCACGCTCTTTTCCTTGATTTAATATGATCATATTTTACGATTTCGTTTAAAAGTACATTTTATTATACACTAACACTTTTACTATAATCAGCCGGTAAGTAAAAAAAATCCATTTACTACTCAAAATCATGCCACAGCTTTCATCGAATTCATTACCAAATCTACTTCTTAGTCTTTAACTCACCTCATAAGATATAACATTTATTTAAATACACTTTTAATATAATTTTAAACATGTAGTGCTCTAATATCAGTACTTATATTTTTTGTCGATTCAATCCGGATTAGTGGCATGTTTAGGATTAGTTACGCATATCCTGTCTTACTTATATCGCGTCTTTCTATAATTTACATTTACTCTGGAGTATAATAATATCATATTAATACAAATTTTCCAACGAATTATCAAATAATTTTCCTTTATGACACTCTTGTTCTTCTAATAGAATCTTGATAAAAACAGGAAATCAAGTCACAAGTAACCTGTTCAGTATTGTGATGACTCAAGAAACCAATGCTTATAAAATTTATAGCAACGATAGCAATAAAGCGTCAATAAATTCCGCTAACAATCACCGCACCGTACAAGCAATGAAAGGTATGAAAGGATAAAATCATAGCAGTCCACGTATTCGCGAGAATCCGATTCGAATGAAATATACAGAGCCGAGCTATTTGAACTCAAGACGGGTACATTAGATTACTATGGGAAGAGGAATGACTTTTTGCATTAGAACGCGCCTAGCCGGCTAGCCAAGTCCACAATAATTTATACGGAGCAAAAGCTTCGATGCAATCTGTTGCGGAGCCGCGATGCGGACACTTTTGTCGGTGCGTGTCTTTTTATGAATCACATCATTAGCTATACAAAGGCACTACACGTCAATGGAACGTTCGAATGTAAATGCCGTATTTTTGTATGCACCCTCACGTTCATCTCGATGTGTTTTGCAAAAGGCTTTCCGCAAAAACTTCAAGGGACGGATGCGAGGCTGATATTAACAAAAAAAGTAATGACGCAAAACGATCTGTTGACATGCATTAATCATTGAATAAATATAAATTTCCATTTTACTTTTCTCAGAATAGTTGAAGATGTAAGTAAGTTCTTAACAAAAAATAGTAACAATAAATTATTGCAGAGATAGAACGGCATTAAAACAACAAACAGAGAAATAATTGCGAAACAACAAAGCTACCACAATGGACATCTCGATCGTGGAAACGTGATCACAAATTACGTGACCGAAGTAAACTCAAGCCAAACAATGTCATACGTGAGCGGCCAAATTAAGCTTTAAAATTGTTTCATGTAAAACACATTCATTATCAGTCCTTGTTCTTATGAATCTGTGTACTGAAGTAAGATAACTGGATTGATAAACGACTGCTAAAGAACGACTAGAGAACCTATAGACTGATGCCCTAGTCCTTCGTCTGTGTGACGACTTTTAAAAGGCAGACATAAATCTACAGATTCATTAAACGTACGGGACTGAGAAGGCTATTTGCAGGAAATAATTAAATTTAACTGCAAATAATTTATCATTGAGTGATCGTTCAATTTTTAATAGATCCGGCCGATTTATCAAACGCTATCTTATTTTGTCATAATATTAAATCAAACTAATAAACATTAAATCATGTAATAACCAGTCACAATAGTCTATTTTCATAGAAAAACGTTGTTGAGAAATTGAAAAATAACTATCAAACACCCGAGTTGAGAATAGAGAAGACATTTGTGTTTTAAAGCATATGACTTTAAAAAAAATGAGATAAAGTTGGTATACGGAATAATTCTACATGTGGTAAAGAATGTAACAGAAAAATGATATCCACTAGCTAAGCACTCTTCCGTAACAAGATGTCATAATCTCACGGGAAAATTGTCGTTAGCAATTTATTGCAAATCCTAAGCCACTAAAACGCTTTCATCTGGAACCAATCGGTCAGGACAATGAAAGTGTTAACACCAAATCTATTACGTAACTGTCACAGTTCACTTGTTGTTTCGATCACGCACATTTGCCTCATTGTCTGTGCTTTGGAAATTTTCACCGTGGCAAAATCGTTCAATTCGAGCGACAAATCGCGTCACTAATTCGTTTAGTGTTTAAAAGGATGAACTTGTCTATGTTGAAAGCAATTGCTTACATACACAAATATTTTTAGCATAAACAAATTTAGCTCAGTAGCTCCAAACCCAAGCCTTACATTGATTTGATAAAAAAAAAGTTCCTTACAAGTAAACGAATATGGCACCTTAATCCATAAAAATAATGTATGTAAAAGCGGAGGGAAGAGTAATTCAAATACTCACATCTAAACTAAATTCTATCATCAATAAAAGATCAGACAAAAATAACAAAAATAAAAACAAATGGTATATTAGAAGAATAATTTCTTGAGCGGAACGAATATTTCTACAATCTAAATGTTAAAGGCTGAGAGTTATAGTTTAATTACATTTAATTCAAAGTGTTATTTGTGGAGCAACTTCGTGTGAGAGAAGGAAGCAAATGAAGGCGCATGCGCATGATGAATGTGTGACGTGAGACAGGCTCGTGGCCGCGTAATTTCAAAGCTCGGAAACGTAAACGCAACCTCACGACCGCGATTGCGTTATTAATGCTCTCATTCAAATGTTAACTTGATTAAAGTAAATATGAATATAATTGGAGTATGAATTTCTCACCTTTATTTTGCTGTATTGCCACAAAGAAACTAGACCTTTGATTTTAAATTCTCTATCGTCTGTAATTCGTTCTCTCTAATTAAGACGCCATGTTTAGACATAAAATTGATACCGAATTTTTGTTCGCTCGTCATTCCTCTTCAAATTTTACATCATCCTAAAGTAAAATATCTCAGCAAACAGTTAACGTCGCTTGTGATCTACATCAGGAATCGCGCTATTGGATCACAAATATCAGATTATTGTTGTGCCATAAATATTAATAGCCCGGATAGAAAATACATTAGCAGCACCACTTCCTATGATAGAAACAATGCTTCAACTAAAACCATTAAAGGTATTTATTCCCTACCATTTCCCCGTGTTCTGCGGTAAACCGAGCCCGTAGTTTTCAGAGCGTCTCGTTCCCACAGATATCTAAGATCTAGATAACTACGCAGTCATTTAAAATGACACTCTATTCCTAACACATAAAACAACAACTTCATTAACCAGCTACTGTTCGGTTACAAAATATATGATAAGAGAGCAAAATGAACATTATATCCCGAGCGAAGGAAATTATTTTGATTTACGACTTTATTTGTCGCTTACGACGTTTTGTGTTAAATTGCTGTGGTCAACTCACTATAGTACGCAACTCGAGCTTGTCGCGTAATTTTGTGTTGAGACACAGGCGACAATAACAAATCGAAGGAAAACTATTCGTTATTTTATAACCACAGACAACATCGAGTAAAACAAAAACCTTAAATGTTACACAAATCTAGTCATATTGAAATAGGAGAAATTGGAAAACGACTTGAATCTAAACGAGAAACTATAAAAAGGTGCTACTGTATTACATTTTGATAAAAAATGATTGAAAGTCAAAAATAATGTAACAAATATCTTAGCATCATCTATGAGACCAAATAATGTCTCTAGTACCAGGTAAGTACAAGGTATACAACTTCTAAATTCTTATTGTTAACATATTACGTAAAAGACCGTGAGAAAGGGGAATTCGTAGACTTGCGTGAAAACTTTTGGTTAGACACATGTAGGTCTTGTAACGTGGAAACTGCGTAAAACGAAGTCAATGTACTCCAAATAGATTGGCAATGTGGTCCAAATTGATATCACGATTTGATTTATAATTTGAGGTTTTGTGAAATAGAAAAACGTCAAATTCAAGATTAAAACATATAATACAAGTATAAGTATGATAAAACTTTGTAAATAAGGCTGGGGATCATGATAACTCCGGTAGTCAAAAAATTTTTTTGTAATTTGCAGTAAATGTTACTGTTCAAACAAAATAACATGCTTTTCTTAGAACATTATATTTCCATTAATATGACATACAAAGAAAGTGATAAAACATAGACAATAACGGCGTTGTGACTTATGACGAACGCCAAAAACCCATAGATGGGAGTCATTAAGTACGTTTGTCAATAAGAAAGCAAGTGTGCCGGTCCGTTACACGCACAAAAAGTTGTTGTGGGTCATCGGCACAGACGAGCGCGTCGCGTCGTGGTCGTGGTCGCATCTCCGGCGTTCTTAACCGCGCCTTAACTTTTTAATTGCTATCAAAATCAAGATGGCTGCCATTATATTATTAACAGCCAGATGTTTTAATCTCATGGTAATAAGTTTTATAATGTTGTTAGTTATAATCTTGATTGAATTCATAGTTTGTTAATTTTTCAATAATTAATTAACTGTACCTTTGACTATAGTTTTAAAAGTAAGGTCCGTGAAAATTGTGGTTGATACATGAATAGAATATATTATTGATGCTATGAAATAACTTTTACAGATTCAATAAGATACAGATATTTAAATGTTTATACAATATTTAAATTATCTTATCCCTCAATGTCATATCGATGAATATGACAAATGAAAGACGAATACGAGAATAGGCTGATAGAATTCGAAAATAACATTTCAGAAATTCCATTTCAAGTGAACATAGAGGAGACGTAGACAAATATTTAAGTCTGTTTAATTCAAGACATAACAAATACATCGGAATGTTAAACTATTGCTGGAATCTGAGCTGAATATATTACACGAAGAAACTGTTTGCATCGTTGTTGTATTAGGCGGTCTATTTAAATCTGGCAAGGGGAATGAACCTGGTACAATACTCGAATTAACATATAAATATAGCGCCTTATTGT